GGGCCACGAATACTGCGTGGTGGCTGATGCTTGCGGGCGGTGCCAGTGAGGCCTTCGGTGGAACCCCCCATATGGGGTCACGAAGCGCTGTGCTGGGTGGTGGCTGACGCATGCGGGCGGTCCCACTGGGGGCTTCGGTGGAGCTCCCTATGGGGCCACGTAGCGCTGTGCTGTGTGGTGGCTGACGCATACGGGCGCTACCATTGGGGCCGTTGGTGGAGGCCCCCTTATAGCGCCAGGGAACGCTGTGCTTGGTGGTGGCTGACACACGCGGGCTGTCCCATTGGCACCTTCGGTGCAGCTCACTATGGGGCCACGAGGCGCTGTGTTGGGTGGTGGCTCACGCATGCGGGCGGTGCGTCTGGGACCTTCGGTGGAGGCCCTGGAGGAGGAGGGGGAGTTGGAGGAGGAGGAGGAGGAGGAGGAGGAGGAGGAGGAGGAGGAGGAGGAGGGGGAGGAGGGGGAGGAGGAGGAGGACAGGGAGGAGGAGAGGAGGAGGAACGCGGGGACCGTCTCTTCAAAACGAGAACCCAGCACCACAGGATGGTTGGGAACAAGCAGTGCACGTGAAGCATCAGCGCAAACACAACGCAGCGACAGCAAACACCACGTACACAACATAGCACCTACAACGTATTGCAGGACATCGTAACACAAAACTGAGTAACAATCATCACGTCGAAGACGCACCGTACCAACAATACAGCGCAAACATAACAATGCCAAGGCGTACGAAATACCACGGTAGAACACCAGCACTTAACCACCAACAAAAAAACACATCGAGGCACATCGTAACATAACGCCAGATACACCACACCACGTACACACACCGCAACGCACATACAACGCACAGCAACACCACCTACACAGTATTGCACGACATCGTAACACAACGCCGATGTTTTAGAGAAATTACCCAACGTAAACAAACATCGTACACCAGACACAGTGTGAACAAGCACCACGCACAACAGTATTTGACGTCTCAAGGCAACACGTCACCATTAACGCACCAACCTAAAACATCGCAGCACATCGTACACAGCGCCGAGTCGCAGCACCTCGTAAAAAACACAGCGGTATAATTGCAACTTACCACATTCCATGAACACACCACGTAATCAACCACACGGTAAAACATAAACATCGACAGCTCACCGAATGACTTCGTCAAACCTCACCGGCTAAAGCAATCCAGCGTATCAAATTCATCTTAAACAACCTTGCATAGACCACCATGCGTAGACCACACCCTCTCGCAGAAAACATTGCGTAGAAAACGCTGCGAGGAAAACATTGCGTTTGGGCCTTGCTCACACTTCCCGTCATTTTCTACCAGATGGGCACGCCTCTACGAGCGACAAGTTAAAAGGAGCCTGCCCCCCCAAAAACAAAACAACACAACGTAGACACCATTGCGTGTAACATTCGGCGTAGAACACATTGCGTAGAAAGCTCGGCGTAGAAAACATTGCGCAGAACGCGCTGCATTTGGGCTCTGTCAACACCTCCATCACCCTTTACCGTACCACAAGAGAACGCCTCCAATAACGATAATACAAAGGCGCTTGCCAACAACAACCACAGCTAGTCCGCGAGTAAGAATCAGAAGTGCGCGCATGCAGTTTGTTTTGGCATGCGCCTTTCGTCGTTTTTGGAGGCGCGGTCTTGTCTGCAGCAAGTTTCTGGTTCGTTGCGTTGCCCCGCTGTTTGCCCGAGGGCTCTCAGCTCCAAAAGTAAGGCGTCTGCGAAAGGCAAACCGATGTGCGCTAAGGAATGTGGAATGCGCGCCGACGTACCCTGAAGGTACTTGCGAGGTACTTCGCGGTCCTTTGGCAGACGCCTTTCATCATAGGGCAGAGAGTTGTCTGGCAAACAGCGGTGCGACCGCTATCACGAGACAAGATCACGAAACCAAAACACCACGCAGATAAACACAACGGTAAACACATATATACAAAGTGCCGCATGACATCGAACAACAAAACCGACTACAAACACAGAGTCAAACACACAGCGTGCGAATAAGACAACACAGAAAAGCACAACTTAGAACACACCGCGTAGAAAGGTGAGCGTTGTTTTGTTCCTCTCCAGCGTGACGCTCGTTGCCCGGGCCAACCCCCCCCCGGGTCACGCTGACGATCGTGTCGTGGGGGAGGGGGGCCTGGGCCCCCCTCCTGCATGCTGGGAACGGGGCATGGCGTGTTCTGAACGACACGCATTGGTGCTCACAGACGTGTGGTTGTTGTTGTTGCGCTCGCAGTCGTCGTCGTCGTCGTCGTCGTCGTCGTCGTCGTCGTCGTCGTCGTCCAATGCAGCTGGCGATGGCTCAGCTACCGCAGGCTGGTTCGACCACTCTTTCCGCAAGTGCAGAATGCGGTGGCTCTCTCTCTTCCGTCTGGCCAGTGCGCAGCGCGATACAGTCAACGCGCCCAATAAGGACGCGCGCCTTCTCCAGGGTACCCTTGTGTCCTTGCCTCTGCGGCCTGTCCTT